AAACACTTGTGTATAAAGTTTTATATGTAAAGTTTGATTTTTTACTATGAAATGCGCATCATTTTTAATTTTTAAGGTGTGACAGTTTTGGATTCACAAGATCTATATGTGTAACATCGAGTTGTCCCCCATTTATTTACTTACCCCTAGGTAGTAGTAGATACTAAACATTGCAATGCATATGCTACGCTAAATCATTAAATTGAAAATTGGTTTTTGATATTATTAAAATCGCATGATTAAATGGGTCTGATAATCAAGTAAGGTTCTAGCCCAAACTGTTTCTCAAAGCTCAAACTATTTTCGTTGATTTGGGTTTTTCAACGTTTTTTATAAAGAGGTAGGTATATTAGACTAGAAACCTTACAATAAAGCTATCAGACGAATTTTGTGCTTTAATTACAAAAGTATACTTTAATAATAATATCATGGATTAAAATTTTGTGTTAAAACATAGCTCTAAATCTTTAATTAGTTTCGACTAAATAAAATAAATAAACATTTAAAACCAAAGTTATCTACTAATTAAATTAATGTTAGTAAACCTATTCCACATAAACATAATAAACAATTGTTATTATCAATTAATTCACGCTTTTCCAAACATAATTGATGACACTGTAATACATGAAAATTAACATGAATTGTTGTAGAAATGAACTGTCGACGAAATAAACTGTCGACGAAATGAACTTTCGACGAAATGATTGTCGATGAAGTAATTGTCGATGAAATAATTGTCGATGAAGTGATTGTCGACGAATTGATTGTCGACGAAATGAATCAGACCCATCATAGCAGGATAAAGTTCATAGAGTTTCTATTCGTAACACAAATTCTTTTTAATTCGAATTATTCGTTATATTCGTTTTATTGGAACTATTTGTTTATTCAAATCATTCGAATTATTCGTTTTACCATTTTATTCGTTTTATTTGTTTATTCGAATAAAACTTTCCATGTAATTCGAATACTCAAATTCATAACGAATAAAAAAAATAATTTAAACCATTAAAGACGAGATATTATAATAACAAATAGTAAATAATATCAACAATAATAACGATATTAGTAATAATAATAATAATACCAGCAAGCTTAGTACCATCTGAAAAACTTTTTCGTCAACTGGGATCTATTAAGTTCTTAGCTGGCTATGCCATTTAATCCAGCTAAAGTTTTTCTATCGGCTAACATTACTATGTTAAACAATTCACGAGCAGTTCTACAAACACGTTAAATTTTTCTTTAATTTCTTGGCCTTCTCAAAAAGGCAACATGGCGTTTGAATTTATAGTATGATGATAATCGAAAAGAAAGCAACATGGACTAATCAATTGAAATCATTGGATACATACAAATGAATATCCAAATAAAAATATTAAAAATATGTTGTCCATTGGATGCACCAAGCAAACTTATACATTAATAATAACTAAAACTATGATAGTAATATGTATGTTTAAAACTTTAAAAAGATGGATAAAATTTTATTTGCAGATAATTGACCAATCACAAATTTTAAATCATTTATTTTTTGGAGCATGATGGACATTCGTATGTTACACGATCATCAATATACATTTCAATTGAAGATTTTAAAGTACTATTACCCCATTTGGTAGGTGAATGGACGAACACTAATTAACCTGTGTTCAAACTTTGCAGTAATATAATCCTTTATCTTTTAAAAAGTTTTCCGTGTCAGATCAGACCAGATCAAACTTCCTTGACTTCAGTAATATAATAGTGAAAAATGCCAAAAGCTAAACAATGCGCGCTTTGTAAAGAAACTAAAACTGAAATTTTAGAACAATAAATGAAAGAAGGAGGCAACAAGGTAATCATTCTATCATTATTGTTAAATTAATAGTTTTGTATTATATATATCTGTTTCTTATTATTAGATAAATAAATGAATGCGGATAATAGAAACAAGGTGAGCTGTTCTATATATAATTATAAATAAATAGGACACACAAAAGAAACAAGGTTGTTCTATAATTGTTGCTAAATTAATAGTTTTTATCATATCTTTATTTACATATTTATTTATTATTTACTATTAGATAAATAGGAAAGAAACAAACAATTATTGTTAAATTAATAATATTGTATAATATATATCTATTTCGTGGATGATAATAATTTTGTATAATATGTATATATCTATCTATTTATCTATTTCGTGGATAATGGTTGTTCTATAATTATTGTTAAATTAATGGTTATTAGATAACATGAATAAAAATTTGCTTCTGATATCTATTTGACAAAAACTTGTATATTTTTATAATTGGTTAAATACTGGGCTAGCAAAAATACATGCAACGATTTAGTTGAAGCTTCCTTTTCTCAAAAATAAAAATTTTTCTTTAACCTTGTGTAATTTATCGGGCCAATCAAATTTCGTGATAAAATCAAAATATGATTGACGAAAATCATTGCCAATTTGCGAATGTCCGCCATGCTTATTTTTGGTATATAGATACCAAAAAATCGATCATTGGTTCATGCATATTTTTTGTTTCTACTAGCGGATTAAATAAATATTTATCGTTTTTTTTAAATATTTGCATGTTGCATCACCATGCCACCTAAAAATCAAACATATATGAAAGATTTTGCTTTAGATATTAAGATAAATAAGAGCGAGAAAGTTAGCATGCTCAAAAAAGGCCATATTTCAGGATATCGATGCCGGCAAAGGTGATTTTCACAATAATCTCAAATTGTATAATGTTAATATTTCTCTTACTCTAACAAGTACCTAACGAAGTTCTCTCAATAACCCAGCAATGATGACAAAAAATTTTAAAATTTGGAAGACTGTGAAGTATGATCATCAACCGTTATAAAATTTTCAGACTTCGTTATACATTATAGAAAATTTAATTAAGTAATCCATAATAGAGTAAAATTTTTAAATAGCAAAAATCGGCTCTAATTCTTAGTTCATTATAGGGTGAAGATTGTTATAGAAAAAGCTGTTATAGAGAGAGTAAACCGTATATGTAAATCCAAAAACAATTACTTTAGCTTTTACACTGGTGATGAGAAACTATTTTTGAATTCTACAAAACTAGAGATGGGCAAATGGCGTATAGTTGAACACTATACGACACTATACGATACTTTACGTATAGTGCGTATAGTACGTATAGTACGTATAGTAGTGTTGAAATTTGATTGGGTGATTTTCCAATGTAATACAAAACTGAATAATAATAAGAAAAAAAAAATAATTTGGCTATTACGATAAGCATAAATCTTTAATTTATTCAACCTACACTTTTTTAGGTTTTTATTTATGAATCATTAATTATATTGAATGAATTAAATATCATAAAAATCAAAACTTCTTTCATTTTTATTTGATTCTTCAATAAAATTTTCATCAGCTTCTTTGATGAAATCTTCAATTATGTTGTAATTTACCTGTACACCAAGTATTTGAAGTATTAAAATGTTCTCCAAAATAATTTCTTTTAATTTGAATTGTGGCATTTGGACAAAGACGTAAATGTTTTTCACATCTAGATATTGAACTAGAACGTTAATATTAAAATGTTGCCAAATTGCAGGCAAGTTTAAAATATATATTTATCGTGAGAAGAGTATTAATTAATTTTTATGTGTAACATCACATCTATTATTTGACAATAACCTAAACAGGAATTGATTTACATTTACTACTATTATATACTATATTTTTCTAGAACTATACGCACTATACGTATCACTATACGTATTAGTATAGTATTATACGTATAGTACTGATCTGCCCATCTCTACTCTAATTTGTTCACTTATTTTATTTGATATTTATTTTTTTTATTTTTTTTTCGTAAGAACGTAAGAAAGCATTTCCTTAAATAGTGACTCAGAATAAATGACAGAATATTGATTGGCTTGCGAGAAAAATGTTGATTTTAGATATTGTTGAAGAATACGTAATTCAAAAATTTATGACGCCTTACATTAAGCGATAATTCATTTGGTAGCAGGATCATTTGACCGGTTAAAATAGGTTAAAATCTAAATCACTATCAATTCCTTAATTCGCAATTTGTGATAAATGGAAAGAAACGACATGCATTTCAGCCAGAATTCTGAATCAGTTTTCGTTAAAACGTCCCATTTTATTAAATCAATCATTATATTGACATTATTGTAAAATATTAAAAACATAAATTACATACAATAGTTGTGCGATTTTTATTTTCCGCTTAATAAAAAAAATTTTTTTGTATACTTTTAACTGGTAATTAACCGGTAGGGGTTTTTTTGACCAGTTCTAACCTCTATATTGAAGAATATATAAATCCCCAAAACTTGATAACGCCTCGCATTAAACGATTGTTTCAATAATTTTCCTTTGTAACAAAATTCACACGAAGGCGCTTTTCTCATTTTATCTGTACATCAACAAAAACTTCAATGGAGGCAAACCGGTTTGTATGTAAGAAAACCGTATTTATTCTTTGAATTTGAAAGTGAACAAGGTTTTGAACCTTTCTCCGATGAGAGTTACTATGATAAAATATATACATGCATAAAAATATTGACACGTGCATTTTTTATTACTAAATATATAACTGTTACCAATGTTTATGAATTT